TACGCCCTTCCTTGTCTTACTGTCCCCAGTTTTAATAAACATACCCTCATAGTCACCTGGACTTGTGTTGTAAAATCATTCCTACTTGAAGAACCCACACACTATAGGCTGGCCCTAGAAAGACCAGCTCAGAGCCAGGTCCCTTCTCTGGTAACATCTATATTGCATTCTAATAGTTTTACTAACACTATGCTATTAAGAACCACCACTGGCTTTATATACACATCTTAAGGCAAGTCATGGATGGGTTGATGGATGGATGGACAGACAGAGGGATGTAGTGCTACTTTCAAATCCACCACTGTTAGTTTTTTTTAAAACTAACCAAAAACTAATTGGTTAGTTTTTTTAAAAAAAAAAACTAACCAATTTCCCATTGTATTTGATGAGTATTATAATTCCAAGATTAGAAATCTAGGTGATAAAATATTTCTCAGTATGTAACCTCTGTGTTTTCTAACTAACTTAGCTTTAATTTTTAGATAGAATGTTGCTAAAGGCCTGGATCCTGGACAGAACAATGGCAGTGATGGCTACTCTAGGTGTCTTTACTCATCATCTTGAGCTCCTGTAAAATATCACCTACCAGCATTTTTCACATTTAAGTTTCCTAGGAAGACTTAAAAATGGAGGAGTTGTAGAAATGTAAATGACTGTGACTAAATGGACCAACATGCCAAAGATATACTTAGGCACAAAGTTTAAAGGAGAAGAAAAAAAAATTCTAAAACACCCAGCTGATCCCCAGTTCTGATGCTCATATCAGGGCAGAGAGAGGACTTGCAGGTCACATGGAGCTCTGCTGACTCCGCATGCGGGGGCATACATGTCACCCGTGGACACTTCTGTAGGCTAAATCTGTGGAAATATCACCAGCAAAGTGCCGTCAAGAGCCAGTCCAATTAGTTTGTCTGTTAAGAATATTTCACTTTAGAACTGATCTTAACAGAAGCATATCCTGAGTCTTTACATATAAAACAGACATTAAAAAAAATTCTGGTTACAGCTCAGCAGAATTGAGCATAAATTTCAGCCATGAAACAGCAAATGTTTCTTTTTCTTAAAATGTGAGTTTAAAGGCTTTGACAAAATCTTTGGAAGAAAAATTACAAAAGAAAACAGGAAAAGGCTGGTTCCACTTAAGCGAGTGTGCCTTTTGTTCCCTGTGACCTAACCTTTACAAAACTGTTTGTTATTCATCTCATTACAAACATCTCTCTGTCACAGCAGGTGTTGGGTCAGGAGAGGACACAGTGTCCAGGAAACCTGCAATCAGGTTAGAAAACTCCCTGGTGAGCCATTCCCTTTCAATTGGCTCTGAGTGGCTGGCACTGCCTACCACAGACAGCCCTGAGCTGCCTGCCCCCGAAAGGGTTGTCATTTAAGCCACAGCAGAAACACTTCCCCAAACCACTCTCCCTGGATGTGTTGGAGCTACATTTCCAGTGACAGAAAGGGAAGTTGTCCTAGCTTTTCTAACTATTAAAGGAAATAAGACTATTTCCTTAGAGTTGCTTCAAAATTCCACTTCCTCCAGGACTGATTTTAAAAGTTTCTTGCATGAATCACTCTCTTTGGGTAAAGTTCAGTCTTTCAAGGATGTCCTTCCCAGTTTTAGCTGCCCCAGGTGGTGGCTGAGTTGATTATGGACCTCAGTGTGTCTTCAAAGTGGGAGAAGAGAAGGCAGTAGGCTGAGACTTACGAGGCTTCCCTCCATATCCTCACAGGTCTCTGCTATGAAGTGGCTGCTGGCCATTTGGGGTGACTGAATTGCAGCCACTGCTTGAGTCTCTGGTCTGGTCCTCTTGACCAGAGGGAGCTTTTTCGTTTTGGTCTTAGGTTTCCACCAGTCCCCCCAGCACCCACCATTTCCCATCCCTGTGGCACACAGGTACTTTCCTGTCTTTCCAAGACTCACGTGACACAGGAAGCCATGAGCCCTGTTCAGAAGCTTCCAGATTTTGGCCCAAGGAGTAGAAGCCAGAGAGTTGCATGCAAATCTCACTTCATGTTCTATTGTCTCTCCCCTTCTTCTTCCCACATTTCCTGGGACTGGCAGAGGTGGGCTTCCCTCTTCCTCTATGGCCATATTCCGAATTGTCTCATTGTTGAATGTATATAGTAAACCTCTAGCCTCTCAGGCCTGGCTTATGTGGTAAAAGCAGCAAAATAAATTTGGAGAAATACCTTCTTCTCTTGAATCTCAATTTTTCAAGATTTCTGCCTCACTAATAAGGATCTTCTCCCTCAGGAAGTCTCATACTTTCCTTTCCTGGAGTTGTGACTCAGCCTGGAAGGGCCAGAGAAGGAAGGAAGATACTTTTAAGGGGAAAAGAAAACATTTCCCTTTATTACGTGCAAAACCATTTCACTGCTGTATGAGGCACAGTGACATCTAAGTACCAGATGGTAAATGTGTTGACCTCTTAGTTGATAGATGCTTTAGTGTAGTGGTCACACAGACTGCACATTCCTGGATCAGCTCTGAAGTTCATGATGCATGTTGTGTGAGTATTACTGTTAATGTACTAAATATAAACAGCAAGAGAAAACAGCCTAACATTTACAGTACCTAAGGAAACCCTTCATTGTTGATAGTTTATGCTGCACACTCATTAAGATATTGTTCTTCCACCAAACATTGATTCATCACAGGAAAACACAACTCTGCCAATCATTAACAGTGAAAGTCATCTTTCCCTATTCTTCAGTGGCAATCATTTTATATAGTAATCTCATGATGACCTGGACAGGACCATAAGTGAGAAGTACTCATTAATCTCTTCTCAAATGGATTTCTCGTTATTCCCTATGTCCCCCATTACTATTCCAGATTCCAGCTTCTCTTCAAGTCTAAATGTTTGAAGAGCCTATTCCTCACCTCCTGTTCATTCCACTCTTACCTGGCTCCTACTCCGACCCCTCCACTGATACATCACTAATACCAAGGACACCAATGACCTCCTCCTGGTCACTAAAGTCAAAGGACACTTTTCTGCACCACTCAGTTGCTATAGATACTATGGGTCACTCCCTTCATATTGGTAGGGTTTTTTTTTCTTTTGGCTTTTCTGGAATTTCTGGTTTTCCTCCCACCTTACAGGTTGACCCTTTTCTATCTCTTTCAGGCTTTTAATCCTCTAGCAGTCCTCTTAAAATTAAGAATTTTCTGAAAATATGTCCTGAGACCCTCCTCTTTTTCTCTCTATATGCCAACCATTTTATCTGTCCTGTGCTTAACTTCAACCTAGAGTCATAATTTTCAAAATTTTGGGCATGTAAGTTACACCTGAAGAAAGTGCAAAAAGTTCTAATCATTTAAGTTTTTTTACTTATAGAAATTTCTTCTTCTAGAATCACTCTCATACCAGCCTCACATAATGCAATGTGATGAAAGGCATCATAAGCCAACAGGGTTTTAGTCAAAGTCAAGAGGTGGTGTGGTGTCAACTGGAAGTGAAAGACCAGAGCAGGAAACCGAGTGCTGTCCCTTATTTGCTATGTGACCTTAGACAAGTCACTCCAACTTCCTGGGTTTCACATGGTAGAGGTAACAGACATGACTTAATTGTACTTTTTATAAAAGGTAAAATGTGAATTCTGCCAAGTGGCATTTCATTTCCAATGTCCGGCCACCTCCCTTACTCCTTTGGAAGTGGTATAAAAGGGCAAAATTGGAAAGAAATGTTTCATGCAGAGAATAAAACAATATGAAAGCTGTTATTCACCCCTGCATTTTTCTATTCTATTTCATTTATTGTCACTTAAAACTTTTAGTGTTACCTTAGTATTAGCTGAGGGTAGTATTAGCAGTGAGAGGGATATTATGTTACAGCTGAAGCAATGTTCAGGTAGGAACTGCTGAGTGGGTTAGAAAAATGTTGTCCATGCTAGGTTTTGTTTCGGGGGGCTTTTCTTGCCTCTGAAATATTTTACATGTGGGTCTTGGGGGTTCTTAGGAGGGCAAGGTGGCACGGCACCTTTCTTACGCATGAAACACAGAATTAAAGGTTTAAAAGAGTTAAAATATCACTATTCAACAGAAAGTTTTGTTTTGTTTATGAAGGATGAGAAGTTTTCAACTGTGGTAAGCTGCAATAGGAACTCTGCATTAATACTAGGGAAACCCTATGCCATAAAACAGTAAGGTTTGTGCTAATTAATACTTAATAGGTGGCTCTCCTAGGGCAGAAAAGAGCCTCACTTACAGCATTTACTGGTTGCCATGGTGTAAATATTCCCATGATGGCCAATGTCCACCCCCAAAGTGACCACGTCGTACAAAGGGTGAGGGAGAGGTGCACAGCTGGACTCTGTTGTAGTGGCCATGCAGACACCATAGTCTAGATTACCAAGAGCCCAGGCAATAGAGAAATAAATGTCTTAGATAATCAGCAAAGGGTGAGTTTTGGGTATTTGGTGTCTTCATTTTTAATATAATTTGTTTAATTGTAAATTTATATAATTTACTTTTTAATAATGGCTGTGTCTAACTACTGGGTCACAGAATCCCTGAAAGATATTAAAAAATGAGTTCCTATGAGACAGTATGACCAGCTCCCACTCACCATTGGTTTCTCCTCAAAGAATAAAAAACATTAAGATTAAAATTTGCTTAAGCAATATTTAATTACATTTGAGTTTTCAAAGGTGAACACTTAGCTGTAGGTGTTTTTATGCTTGCTAATTTTCTACAACTCTATGTTATCTATCAACAGGTAAATCAAAAGCAGCGATTAAAATAATCAGATGCAAGATCCATAGATGATAGTTTTCCATAAATTTGTGTAAACTGGGTGTGAGATGTATATATATCTCCTCCTCTAAGAAATTAAAAAAAAGAAAAAGATATTTGCTTATTGAATGACATGTTTTATAGACTGAATTATGTCCCCTCAAAATTCATATGTTGAAGACCCTAATCTGACAGAACTTGTGTCCTTATAAGGAGAAGAAGGGACACTAGAGCTTTCCCTCTCTCTGTGCCAAGTGCAGGTCAAGGTCATGTGAGGACAGAGCAAGAAAGCACCACCTGCAAGTCTAGGGAGAGACCTCTCAGAAACATACCCTGCTGGCATCCTGATCTTGGACTTCAGCCTACAGAATTGTGAGAAAATAATTTTCTGTTATTTAGACTACCCTGTCTGAGATATTTAGCTATGGCAACCCAAGGAGACTAACATAATATGTAAATAATGAAATTACAAGCAATTCCACAGCAGTAACATGCTACTTGACCTCAGGCTTTATCATTATCATCAGAAGTTCCTTCCTGTCTGCTCCTCTGTTTGATAAACTTCTGCTCAACCCTGTAGGTCAAGGGTTCCTGCCTCTCAGAAGCTCTCCTTGGTTCAACCAAAAATGTGTCAGTCCTTTTTCTCCTGCAAACGGCTATAATGATGATCACAGTGTTTTGTTCCAACATAAATTCTTTTTAGAAAAGTAAATTACACATGAGAAATTGAGATTCAGCATGCTACCTACCTTTGCTGCCTACTTGTTAGCCACTAGCTACATGTGGCTATTTACACTTAAATTTAAATAAAATAAAAGTTCAGTTCCCCTGTTGCATCAGCCACATTTCAAATACTTAATAACCACTTGTGGCTAGTGGCTGCTGCATTGAACTTGCAGACATGGAACATTTCCCTCACTGCAGAAAGTTCTGCTGGACAAAACTGCACTAGGCTGTGGGCAATTTGAGGTATGGGGGAAGCCTGTGTTGTTGTTGTTTCTTTTTTTTGCATAGTTTTGTTTCCTAAGTTCCTAGCCTTGTGTCTGCTATACAGTAGGCATTCAATAAGTATTAGTTGAATTAATAAAAGAAAAAACACTATTTACCTAGTTGTAGCCACTTAAAGCATTCATGGTTCCTGGAGACCACAGAAATAAACACACACGTAAATTTATTTTTATTATTGACAAGTAAAAAACTAAAAATGAGCAATTTTCATTTTCCCTGGGATGGGAACACCAACATCCATCATTAAATATAATTATAGACTTCATCTCTCAGGTGTTAATACAGCAATCTATAGTTGTTAATTCAGAAGCATAATATCGATTCTAATTTATTTTTCTAGGTCATCTCTGCTCTGTTGTTCTATAAGTGACCCTATGGACTCATTAAATCTTGCAGCATGATATTTATGCAACCCTATTTAATGAGTCCTCCAACACCTTGAATTCTCTGGATCTCATACCTATTATTTTAGTGGCAAAATTCTGAGTTTAATTAATCGTATTCTTCATGGACTCAAAGGAGATCATAAAAAGGTCACCCAGTCTTACACAACTCTCTGCTGGCAGACAGCCTCTTCATTGCACACTTATAGATTTTCAAGTGATACACAGTCTCCTCTTGGGATTGATTTCAGAGGCCCTCACCCCCTTCCACACAGATAAAGTCTACAGATGCGCAAGTCCCTTATGGAAAATGGCATACTATTTGCACATAACCTACACACATCCTCCCATATATTTTAAGTCATCTCTAGATTACTTAAGATATCTAATATAAGGTAAGTGTTTTGTAAACAATTGTTAAAATATATTCTTCAGGGAATAATGACAAGAAAAAAGTCTGTACACCTTCAGTACAGATGCAACCATCATAGGTCTAACTACACAGTACACATCAGCAACATTAACTTTTTGTTTTCCTAATATTTTCCACCAGCTGCATTGAACCCTCAGCTGCGGAAACCACAGATACGAAGGGCCCATTGTATTTAGGTATTCAGATATTCCTACACTCAGAAATTTTTCTTAATTACATCTTTCACAGTGTAGCCCAAAGCAGATGCCCTCACTCTGACTCCAGAGAAAAAGGAGGACAAGGTCGTCCGTTGCACACTCTGGAGAAGCCCCTTCCTACGCTGTGACTGAGATTTAATACAATCTACAAGGAGACACTGCTCTTTCAATATGTGTTTTTAGGTTTAGTAACCTCAGGGGTAAATACTGAGGCTGAGTAAGTAATATTTAAATGAATAAACCAAAACCATAAAAACAATTGCTTAACAACAACAAAAGAAAATAGACCCTGTGTACCCAAAGCATACCCTAACGCCTTTCTTATATAATTCAGGCCACATGTTTTCAAGTAGGAGAAGTGGGTTTTACTTAATAAGGATGCTGTTCCAGGGCTGGAGGAAGAGAAGGATTTAAGAGGGGAGTGTGGAGAGATGAGGGAGGGAAGGGATCTCAAGGGAAGCAAACCCATTTCGTCTGTCTTGAACTCAGCACCAACACGTACAAGCTGGATGACACGTGGGTGGAAAGGAAGGGAGGGAGGAGAAACGGCAAGGTTGGGAGGGGGCAAGGGTGTCTGCCCTCAGTCCTGATGCTTTAGAGCAGCCAGGGACAGGGAAGGTTACATTGAAAGCATTTTCACCCATGTGTGTGGGCTACCCAAGGGCTCACAATCTCCCTCTCTGCTTGGTTGTACTTCTCCACTGGAGGCGATGAACACAGAAATGAGCTGCCTATTTCTCAGCGACAGGAGCTGCTGGCTGCCAGTAATATCTTCCTACAGGTAGGATCTGTATTCACAGGGCTGGAGATTTCCTAGCATCTAGCCCTGGGAGATGTTCTTTCTCTAAGACATTTGTTAGAAAACAAAGGGTATTGAGAAGCTTGAACATCTTGCCGATGATGTCTAATTCCTCTTGCTGTTGTGACCAGTTTTGGGGCTAAATCCCTGGCAAGATTTTGTTGTGATATTATAGAGTCTGGGGTATGCCATGAGCAAATAAAGCAGCATTTGGTACATGGGACTGGAGTTTATCTCTTGTCACCACTCAGAGAGAGCTGATTCCTTCATCAGAGGGGCTGGTATTCTCTCCATTTTATAGAGGAGAATTCTGAGGCCTGGAGGGCGTACCCTGAGGGCTTACCTCCCTGTGAAATGTGGGAGATACCACACCCCTGACACGTAAAGTGTATAATCACAGCCTCGGGTATTTACTAAGAAAGCTGAAGGACACGGGGTCCTCAAAGTTTGGCACTTCTCTATTTTACCTCAGTAAAGTTTATTAACCTTTGGAACCCTCGTTTCCTCAAGTGCATAATGGCAAGAATAAGAAAGTACGCATGATGTGATGTGCTCTGAAGATGTTTTACTAGATAGTGTGAGTGCTCATTAAATGTTAGTTGTTACTGTTTTCATTATTTAAGTGCCAGGGAAAATCATTTTTAAATGCCTTTCTATGGATTCTAATTGCTCTTTATTATTTTAAAGCACACAGGGACTGTGTTTTTGCTCTTTTTTGCTCCCTACTGAAATTGGCGGAGCCTAGAATAAAGCAGACACTTAAATATACTTGGCATAAATGTATAATTCCCAGTGCTCCAGCATCAGTATTTTTAGAAGTTGGTCATTCTACAGCTCTTTATATGAAGATTTATACATACACAAAATGAGCAAACACCCTGTTTCATTTGAAAAGAAATGATTATCACTATAAATCTTGCTTTATAGTGATTAGTATTTATTTAAAAAATAGAAGTTACCCAGGTTAAAAACATGACTAGCTGCTCAGCTTCACCTATTAATCTGTAGCCAATAACAATGAGGTTTGCATTCACAAATTGAAAGTGTGAAATTTCAAGTATATATGCAATGAATATTTTTGGGATCAATCTTAGAGTAAGAAAAAATATTTTTTTGACAAATGTGATGTTTTTTAAATCATTCATTTTTTTAAATTAAATTTTAAAAAAAAGTATGTTATTCCGTTACAGTTGTCCCACCTTTTTCCCCCTTGCTCACCCCAACCCCGCCTTCCCCCACTTCCACAGTCAACACCCCCATTGTCAGTGCCCAAGAGTCCTCTATTCCTGTTCCTTTGCTCGTCCCTTCCTCTTCTTTCTCCCTTTATGCCCCTCCCCCGTCCTCTCTGGTCACTGTCGGTTTGTTCTTTATTTCCAAGTCTCTAGTTATATTTTGCTCATTTGTTTGTTTTGTTTTCAGCTGTAGTCCATCCATGTGGCTTTTTTTTTTTTGAAGATTTATTTATTTATTTTTTAGACAGAGAGGGAAGGGAGGGAGAAAGAGAGAGAGAGAAACACCAATGTGCTGTTGCTGGGGGCCATGGCCTGTAACCCAGGCATGTGCCCTGGCTGGGAATTGAACCTGCGATGATTTGGTTCGCAGCCTACGCTCAATCCACTGAGCTACGCCAGCCAGGGGTCCATGTAGCTTTTTAAGGTGAGGAAGAAACATTTGAGGAAATACTAAACTTGGTACAAAATGTACTGTTCAAATATTGCTATGAAAGAAGAACTCTTTGTTCTTTTTCAAAGATAAAATACTGTTTTTCTTTTTGTTTTTGAAATAAGGCCTATTTTTTCACAGAAAGTGTGAAATTGGTTTATTTTTATGTTGCCTTTTCTATGTGGGAAGCTAAAGGCACCCACAATTATGTGGCAATCACAATTATGTGATTGAAGGTTTTTTTTAATATCCAGGTATTGTGAGAATATCTATCTTCTTTGAAAATAAATATTTTTGCTAAGCAGGAAACTCAGTTGCCATTCTGAAGGAAATACAAGTTGTGAACCAGCCATCACAAGCCTGATAGAGCAGATGACAAAAATGTAACATTTATGTTCCTATCCCATTTATTTCAAAAACCAACACCCAACACCTGTGTCCTGAGCTCCACTGTAATTTATCTCCTCGGAGAGAATTTAATATTCTACCTGTGACAGTAGATGTTTCACAATAACTTTCAAAAATACCAAGAGTTACCAGTGCAACAAAAAAATCCAATGATGCTTATAACTGATGATTTAAGAGACAGCTAAAATATTTATAGCCAAATGAAGAAGACAATTTCAAGGTCTTGCTGATGCCTTCCTGAAGAAATCAGCATCACTCCCCTCCCCTCCGCCCCAGCTTCCGTTGTGGGCTTGGCCACAAGGTCCCCAGGGAGCAAGATGCACTGGGAGGACACGGACAGAATTCAGCTATGGCTCTGCTCTCTAATGACACCCTCTGCTTCTCTCTTACCATTGTCATAGTCAGAAGTAGACAATAAAGAGATGTCAAAGGGTCAGGCTCATAATTAGGCCAAAAAATTAAATGCAATAAAGCACCATGAAGGCAGATTAAAGCTTGTCCTTTTAGCCAAAAGGCAGATGTGCACTAGATCCTTGCCGGGCAGATGTGGTCCATGGAAATGCAGTGGCAAGGGCATCCCCTGGGAGCCAGGCAGAAATGCAGACCTCACAGCCCACGCAGACCTCCTGAATCCAAATCTGCATTTTCATTGGATCTCTGGATAATTCATGTTGTCATTAAAGTGTGAAAAATCATTGTTTGTGGCAATTGACACAGAGAAAGAGGAAGAGCTTATACTTATTCCTGAATAAAATTGCTGTTTTCTCTAATTCTTTGACGTATTTCTAAACTGTACTGCTTCACAGATCAACAAGTGCTTAAAGACAAAAACATTGTTATCCTCACTGTAAAACTCTAGTTTCAATACCTCAGAACAGAAGTTTGCTTTTTTATGACCACAGTAATCCCTCTTTTGCCTCCTAATATGCACACCCATTAGAATGGGTTTGGCCAGTTCTTATTAGCAAAAGAAATACAATAGATTTCATGATGCATCTCCTGTAGTGAGTTCAAGTCCTCTCTAAGTTTCATTTCGCTTCAGCTAGCAGGCATGGACACAAGCATCCCTATTAGCTGGGCATTTTTAAGAGCTCTTGATTGCAGAGAATCAAGAAATTCTGAGATATCCTTTTAACTCAAAATACCATGTGGGAATGCAATGATTTTGGTTTGATTTTTTAAAAGGAGGGTGTCATAACTTGAGTGGAATGGGTCAGGAAGACTCCCTGAAAGCTAATTTAGCCCCACTGGACTTTAAGATAAGGTTGTGGTAAAACCAGTGCTGTGAGAGGTAGAAACTTAATGTTTCAAATGTGGAAATAATAGTGTGAGTGTAAGTGAGAAAGACCAAAGTCAAAAGGGGAGCCAGTTTTATAAACTGAGAAACAAAGAGAAGAAAGGGGAAGAAGATAATACGTAAGAATGGAATTTGTGTCAGAAAGAGAGAGAACAATGATGAAGAAATAAATGCCAGAGGACGGCAGGCAGACGTGTGAAGTGCGTTGTGGGTGTGGCTGGGAACTGGAGCAGAAAAACGATGGGAATGTGGAGAAAGGGGGGGTGAAGAACAAAGGAGCAAGTCCGTGATGCCTGTCCACAGGATGGCCACGTGCCACCCTTCTCTCAGAAGCGACCCCTCCCATCCAGTCCTACCTGGCCGGAAGGACGGTGGTCACCACTTGAGAGCTTGAGGGTTGGGGGGAGTAAAGTTGGGGGAAACAGAGGGATCCTCATGGCAACTTTCCGACAAGAATGAGGAGGAATCGTCCCCCTGTGTGAAGAAAAAGGGAGGCTGTCATTTTGGTGGCATTGAAATTGATCTCTAAGTCATCTGTTGTTTCAAATTATTTAACTGGGAGTTTTCTTGGAGTGCCTTCTCAAATGGAGATTCAAAACCTCCAGCTCCTTTATCTTGTCCAACACTCCGCACCACATGTGCCAGGGAACTGGCCACTGAACCCTCCTTGGTTCTTCCCTGCTCTCTGCAGGCATTAGATGTTAAAGATGGTCGCAGCTATTACTTTTGAGAAATTCTCCACAAGATTCTACTACTATCAAGATACCTGAGAAAAAATTGTACTGAATTACTGACAGCAGTTAACAATGCAGCCCAATGAGCCTGGGTTCAATGGCTGTGCTTTTCTCTCTCAAAGACAGAGAATTATTTATTTTTCACACACAGAGTTAATTTTGTTAGCCCTCTATGTAAGTCATTTATTCAAAATCTACATATTAAGCATGAACTATGTGCCAGGGATTGTTCCCAGGTGCCCAGAACTTGAGAGCATCACTGAGCAAAATAGTCAAAGCCCCTGCCTTCACAGAGATTACATTCTACTGGGGAAGGACCCACACTTAAGGAAGAAGTAAATGACCTAACAAGAGAAGATAATAAATGCTGTGAAAACCAGAAAATAGGACAGACTAAAAAGGAGACAAGATGCCAGGGATGGGAGAGTGGTGGAGGGGGTTGTGAATTTAAGTAAATTGGTCACTGACAGTGTCTTGGAGAAGTTGGATTTGAGCAAAGACCTGAAAGGCAGGAGGGAGTTGTCCAAGCAGACACTTGGGAGATGAGCATTGTGGGCAGAGGAGAGGGTCTATACAACAGCCCACAGTGGGAGTGTCCTGGCTTGCTGGGGCCCAGCAAGTAACCCAGTGTGGCTGGGGCAGGGAGGTCAATGAGGAAACAAAGAGAGGATGCTGCAGCAGAGTGAGATCAGACAACATTGGACCTTGTAGAATTTTATTCTGAGAGAGCCTGGAACCATGGAAGGGTCTGGAATAGAGGAGTAAGCTGACTTATGTTGTACAAGGATGGCTCTGGCTGCTGTGTTGGGACAAGATTGTGAGTGTGGACATGTGGAAGCAGGAACCCGGGTAGGAGGCTATTTAGAAGTCCAGGTGACAGA